CAACTTTAGTACGCGGAGTATCTGGGGAGCTGGAAGATGAGAACTGGCGGCTTTGTAGTACAACTTTAGTACGCGGAGTATCTGGGGAGCTGGAAGATGAGAACTGGCGACTTTGTAGTACAACTTTAGTACGCGGAGTAATCTGTGGAGCTGGAAGCTGGGAACTGGCGACTTTGTAGTACAACTTGAGCACGCGGAGTCTCTGGGGAGCTGGAAGATGAGAACTGGCAACTTTCTAGTACAACTTTAGTACACGGAGCAATCTGTGGAGCTGGAAGCTGGGAACTGGCGACTTTGTAGTACAACTTTAGTACGCGGAGTATCTGGGGAGCTGGAAGATGAGAACTGGCGAAGTTGTAGTACAACTTTAGTACGCGGAGTATCTGGGGAGCTGGAAGATGAGAACTGGCGACTTTGTAGTACAACTTTAGTACGCGGAAGTATCTGGGGAGCTGGAAGATGAGAACTGGCAAAGTTGTAGTACAACTTTAGTACGCGGAGCATATGGGAAGCTGGAAGATGAGAACTGGTGACTTTGTAGTACAACTGCAGTACGTGGAGCAGTCTGTGGAGCTGGAACCTGAGAACTGGCGACTTTGTAGTACAACTTTAGTACGCGGAGTATCTGGAGAGCTGGAAAATGAGAACTGGCGACTTTGTCGTACAACTTTAGTACGCGGAGTATCTGGGGAACTGGAAGATGAGAACTGGCGACTTTGTAGTACAACTTTAGTACGCGGAGTATCTGGGGAGCTGGAAGCTGAGAACTGGTGACTTTGCAGTGCAACTTTAGTACGCGGATGAGTCATCTCTCGCGGCTGAGTCATCTCTCGCAGCTGCTCTGGCGCCCCTGCAGCTGAGTCATGTCTCCCGACCACCCGGCTCTCTTAAAAGGTTGACACACACACAGAGACCCACGCACTGCCTCAACTTACTCGGAGTCACAGACAGAGACTCATACACACACAGACATTGATACACACACACACACAGAGACCCACACACTGCCTCAACTCACTCGACTTAACACTTCACACTGAACACTTAACTCACACTCTGACTTCCTACGTGATGAAAAATGCTTTCGGGCCACTCGTCGTCTAGTTTTTTTCTGTTTTTCAGTGATTCAACTTGGCCATGGCCATGGTGTCATGGTGTCCGTTATCTTTGACCCTTTCCAGATGATATTCTCACATTGCTGAGTATCCGCCCGGACCTTTTCGCTGGCGGCATGTTCTCGTTTGCCTGCTTGAACGGCATTTCAGAAGTGATGGACAACATTTTGGCCAAAAACCAAACCGCTATGATTTACGCCTGGACGGACGCCATGCGGAACATGCCGCAACAGAAGTTTGATGCCCTTGTCTCCTCCATGCCTCACCGTGAGGTGAAGTGCTCGTCAGAAATCTTGAGGCAGGGTCTGGACTACGGTCATTCTCTATGAATGAGTCAGTCTTGTTGTGTTCAGTGTTGGCTTGAGATAGTTTGGGTTGGGTCACGGGTCGGTCGGAGTGGTCTGCTGCACATATATTATATTTATATAATGTATATAAATATATATTCCCTGGTCCCTGCTGCGGTCACTGCTGCAGGAATGGATTCAAGGATCAGCCGGCCAATGAGATCAGACATCTGGTTTGGGCTTCCAGGCTTTGATTGACCTTCAGAAGATTTTGGCGTGCGGGTATATTCGTTGGATGGAGATGAAGGACAGGTCTATTCAGTCTATCCCGAACACATGGAAACTATGGCTGAGGGATGTTGGCAGCTGCGCACTGTATAGCAGCCGGATGACGCTTTCTGTGCGGCAATGTTCAGTTCTGAAGTGCCTGGCCCAAATGGTGGTTTTGTGATGTGTTTCGAGTTGGACTGGACCACAGGAACTTGACAGACTGGACTCGGACACTTGAGTTTGATGAGATGAGTTTGATTTGATTGCTTGAATGTGTGTGTGTGTGTTTGTAGGCAGGCTACAGGTGAAGACATACCGGTTTGAATTTGATAATTTGATGTTTGATTTGATATCTTTTTAGAAGCACAGGCCGGGTTGGGTTAGTCAGCCTGCAGCGATGCTTTGCTTGAGTGTTTGCCTGCGCTGTTTGTATGGCATTCCCGGCCTAGGCAGCTTTGGCAAAAGGTCTTGTCAGCGGGCAAGGCTGCCATGGACATTCAGCATATGACGGAGGCAGCACAGAAGCACGTGACATTCCTCAACCCTCTTCTGGAGACACTGAAAGATGTGGACAAGGGACAGCTGCCTCTCATTGATGATCCAGATCAGATCAAGTCGTTGGAGGAGATGGTCCCCATGAATTTGCAAGCCATCGCCAAAGAATTGATGTCTGCTGAGTCTGCTGCTGATGATGAGTCACCGCCACCGACATCAATGCTGGCAGGAACCGCTCTGACATCAGCCTTGGATGCCATACCCAGTCTACTAGACTCCCGTGGGGATAAGACCTTGACCGAGGTGATGGCTTGGCTTCAAGGCCTTTGGGGGTCAAATGGATCTCCATCGTTCCAGGTTGGAGTCTCCGAAGCTGATCGCAAGAACTTGCAAGCTTTGAAGACGACAGGAGTCTTGAACATTGTTCCAAAAAAGTTTCATGCGTTACGTTGCTGTTACTGTTGTTTTGGCTTCCTGGCTTCCTGTAGTTTGATCTTGAATCTTTGAGCGTTTCAAGGTCTTCTCATTGAACTCCTGGGTGAGACGGCCAACTTTCCCGTGACTCCTTTGCGGCAGTTCCTTGAGCGGGCCTTTGCCTTCTCCACCACTTGGGCGGAAGCAGCTGCCAATGCAGATGACGGCAAACTCTCTGAGTCGAAGTCACTCCAGCTTGGAACCAGCTTGTATTCCGATTTGATGAAGATCGCCTTCCCAGACCCCAGTGACTCCAGTGGCTCAGGTCCCAAGGACGAGAATGGGATTGGCAAGTTGACCCAGGAAGCTTGTGAGAGATTGCGCCAGCAGCTGGATACCCTTGGCATGAAGTGGCTCAAGGACATGGCCAACGACAACAGCAGCGACAGTTCCAAGCCACTTTCTGATATCGCTGCTGGGACCATCGTGAGCCCAACACCACGCTTGAAAGATGCCATTGCAACCTGCAGACTCATCCCGCAGATCAGCAAGATCCAAAGCACCTCCAAGGAGCTTCAAGGTGGTGAGTCAACATTCAGCAGCCTGGGCGATGTTCTTTCGCTGTATGTGATGGCTAGCTCAATGGACGCAGGACTGATGGAGGCCATCTCACCTTCCTCCATCGAAGCTTGCACCAGCTTTCAGAAATGTGTGGATCAGACCTTCCGTGATTTGTGCGCTACCTTTCTGCAGAATGCAGACCAATTCAAGATCCTGGCGGAGAAGTACGAGCAACTTAGCTTTATTTTAGAGATCATTGACAAGTTCGTTTTCTGCGGGGACATTGGAAGCAAGCAACAACAACACTACACCGACAACAACAAACGCTCCAAGAAACGACGAATCAAATCTACCCCGACCCCACCGCTGATCAATGAGGCCTGTCAAGAAGGCCGCTCACGGCTGGCAAATGGAGCCTGTCATGTGGATGTTTGCCAACCAAGAAGACGTGGATTGCGATGTTAAGATGCTCATTGAGTTGAGGACTGAATTGACCGAGGAGACCAAGCATTTGGATCGGATCATGGTGGCTAAATCCCAGCGTTGCTCCGAGTTGTTCAAGGAACAGTGTGACAAGCTGGATGAGCCCATTCAGTCTGTGAAGGCGCTGCGCCAGTGGGATAGGGTTCGGGGTCGGGTAGTGCGGTAGTGTCGTGTGTAGTTGTGTGGTTTTGTTTGGTTTTTGTATGCATGGGGCGTGAGTGAGTGTTTCAGTTTGAGTTTGACTTTGACTCTTTGACTTGTAGCTGCAGGCTGCTGGGTGCTAGCTAGCGTTCAGCTAAAGTCTGATTCAGATGGTTTATTTGTTGGTGGTTCCCCGGATGAAGAAACAGTTATCCGTTATTGTTCAGCCTTGGAGTCTTGGCAGTCTTGGAGTCTTCCCAGGCCCTTCGCGAAAGCGTTGCTATGACTGTGGCGACTATGTCAGCGGCTGCCCTTTTCCTGAGTCCCAAGCCGAAGACTGACCTTCGCGGAGAGATGTTGCAGTGTTTGAAATACCTGAGTTCAGCACTGGCAGTAACAAAAGCTGACCTGACGAACATTTCCGCATCTCAGTGATGAATTAGTGAGAACTTTTTGATTGTTTCTTCTATGTAGTTAATCCTCCCGGCTGTGACCACCCGGCCCTGTTTTGGGGCAATTCTTTGGGCCTAGGCGCGGATTATTTTATGTTTTTCTAATTTTTATAGTTTCCCGTTTCCCAGGCAAAGCTTGGGAGTCAGATCAACGATGTGTTGGCAGCTGGTGAAGATGGTAAGAAAACAAAGCAGCGCAGATCCAACGCAAGCGGCAACGGTCCTGAGCCTCCCAACGAGGACACCCCCGCGGCGTCAAGCAAAGGAAAGAAGAGAAAGGACAGCAAGCCTGAGAAGGAGAAAAAAACCAAAAAACAGAAGAAGTGATATGAGTGAGGGGCCCGGTAGTATGACATGTGATCCGGCCTGGCTTGCCTGTCAGAAAGTGGGTTCTGACTTTTCAATACCGGCAGGTCACGGTCATGTGAAGTTTTGGATGAACTGACTGACCGCGCTGCTATGGGCACGTTTCCAGTGCGAGATTGTCTAGACTTCAATAATCCACTGTTCCATTTTATATGTTTTTATGCTAGGCTACACAAATATATACACATATAATATATACTGTAGTACCGAGAAAGACTTCTAGATTCGGGTATGTTCCAAATGAACACAGTGGTGCCTCAAGTCGCTCAAGTGGTGCGGTCAACGCTTTCAGGGGAGAACCTCTGGATTCAGCTTTGTTTGCCCGTGGCAATGGACCCATAGGCCTATGTCCAGCTTATACCACTTTGGTGACCCGGGGTTGGCAAGGAAACTAGTTGCCTGCAATGCGTGCTTGGCAGGGTTGTTTCCCTGGCTGCTTGCCTTTATATGTTGATCTACTTTTAGTAAATAGCTTTCAAGCTTAGTGGAATAGCTCCCAAGATTTCCCCAAACAGCTCTCACACAGGCATTCTAGCAACACACATAGAAGCCACCACCAGTTACAACTTCGATTTCACAGCAGCAGCGGCTGGTACAGTAAGTGGCAAACCCTGGGCTGCAGATTCAGACGCAGCCTTAGGGACAGCAACAGCGATGGGGACAATATCATCACCATCATCATCATCTGACAGCTCTGTTATCTCCGCGTTTGGCATCACGTACCAAGGAGACAGCGGCTTAGCTACTACTATGAGCCTTGGGAAACAGCAGGCGCAACAAAGTTGACTTGAATGTATCAGTCAGTTTGAACACAGGGCGCAATGTAAATCTGAACGCTTCCTACTTAGCTGAAAACTGCAGCACAATTGTTGAAACTCGCACGACTTCTACACACCAAAGAACCTGTCACAGATGACAGATTTGGACACAGACTGCGAGCAGCCTGAACTTCACTCAATGACAACGGAGCTGGCCCATTGCAGGAAGCACGTGGATTGAATTTCACAAAAAAATATGGTCCCATTAGCCACAGACAGTCGAAGTTGTACAGTTCGAACATCATTAAAACTAACCAGCACTCAGTTCCTCAAACCCCTAACCGATCTTCACTGCAGTCGCTGCTGCCAACTCGAGATGGCACGTAAGCCAGAACTTTGGCTTCAGAGCTTTGACATTCGAGTGCTCCAAAGTCACCTCCGAAGACATTGTTACTCAGTGACAGAACAACAATATTTCAATGCAAGAAACAATTATTTTAAATCAAAATTTGCTTGTGAACTCCAGCCACCTCCCACAGAATACTGGCCCGCGCGTTTCCACTAAGCTTTGTAAAGCCGAGCCCTTCTGACAAGTACGCAGCCCCGAACATACTGTAGCGAAGCTCTTGCCAATTCAAATTTGCAGCCAAAGGTTTGGGTTCGAAGACATTTATCTTGGCTTTCCGCTTGATGGAGTAACGGAATGGCTTCGGCGCTCCAGCCTGGTGCAGGGCCCAGACTATCCAGACTGCATTAAGGACTAAGTCTAGGAGCAAAACTTTGAAAGGTGACAGCTAAGACTAAAAGACTGTCCTCGTCCATGACTTGCTCCAAGATGTGGTCATCCAAAGACAACTCCACCAAACCAGCACTTTGGGTCGAAGCGCAAGACAGATTTGACAGGTACACGCATGTTTTGGTACCTTCAAACACTCGAACAAGCAGGTCCGTGTCATAAGCAGGTTGCGTCATGCGAGATGGCGAACGGGATGGCTCGAGCTGTGTTCTGCATGGCCTGACCTGCGCAGGGACTGGACACGTAAAGATAGGGGACGCGTACGTAAAACGTTGCAAGATTAAAGCGCGATGCAAAACCTGTGACCAAGCCTGTTGGCTTGTAGCAGAATCCACCAGTGTTGAATCCAAACAGTTCTGCCGGACCCAGTGAAGCCTTCGCACTTCCAGAATTCAGCAGCCACAATTCCGACTGGTCTGTTACCACCACGCAGATGTCATCGTGTCCGGGCATCTTGCATTGAGCAACAAGCCTGATGGGATACAATCAGATTGAAAATCAGACTGAAACATGGAGCGCTAAAGAAACGTCAAAAGATAAAGCTGTAAAGTTGCGACTTGTGAGATTCAAAATCTGCTTGCGGCATGGTTGGCGGATCTTTCCAAGTTTCCTCCACGTTGACTGGGATATCAGGAGGTTCAAAGACAGCATGCGCACCCCAGACTTTCCTGTGCAATACCACGCGCTTTACTACTATTATTACGCACCGTGCGTGGGAAATCAATCAGTCTGAATAAATCCGCCTGGGTCTGTGCCAGAGGTGGAAGCTGAATGCGCAACAGTGGGTGAACTCGAAAGAAGGGGCAAACAAGATGGAACCCACGAACCCGAATGGAAACACGTTCGAAAAACTACATATGTCCAAATGACACTCTTGTAGGACACTCTTGTGGGACACTCTTCTGGGACACTCTTGTAGGGACACTCTTGTAGGGACACTCCTGTGGGACACTCTTGTGGGACACTCTTGTAGGAAACTCTTGTGGGACACTCTTGTAGGACACTCTTGTGGGACACTCTTATAGGACTTGTGGGACACTCTTGTAGGACACTCTTGCGGGACACTGTTGTAGGACACTCTTAAGGGACACTCTTGTGAGACACTCTTGTAGAACACTCTTGTGGGTCACTTGCAGGACACTCTTGTGGGACACTCTTGTGGGACACTCTTGTAGGACACTCTTGTGGGACACTCTTGTAGGAAACTCTTGTGGCACTCTTGTAACACACTCTTGTGGGACACTATTGTGGGACACTCTTGTGGGACACTCTTGTAGGACACTCTTGTTGGATACTCTTGTCGGACACTCTTAAGGGGCACTCTTGTGAGACACTCTTGAGCGACACTGTTGCGGGACACTCTTGTGGGACACTCTTGTGGGACACTCTTGTGGGACACTCTTGTGGGACACTCTTGT